GCAGTTTTAAAAGACGAACTAGATCAAACAAACCATCCACAAAAATGTTTCCTAGTGCCAAACAGCCTTCGAAAGCCAGCCTGGCTTTCTCAATTTTGCTCCAAATTGCACCAACGTCTCTGTTTTTTTTAAAGTTTTATTTGTACATTTTTCTTTAACTTACATAAGTGCTTAATTAATATTTTTACATCAATTATTCACACTTTCTTCTTTTCAACCAAAGTTAAATCTAGTGTGTTGTATGCCAAGGTTTTATTACTTTATATTTGGAAATCCCAAAATATTTTAAACCTGCTCATTTGGGGCTATTTTTTTGAACTGTATATTTTAAACAATTTTTCATTGCTGGTGCAATAATATTTTTTGGGGAAGTGGGTACTTATTTCTATACGGGTAGCAATAGTAAAAGAGGAATTGAGGGCTGGCTTGGTTTCACGCTAGAGAGCGGGAAACTGAGTTCTAGTCCCGCCTTAGGCACAAAAGCCAGCTGGGTGACTTTGGGCCAATCACCAGGAGGCTGGGAGTTCTAGTCCTGCCTTAGGCATGGAAACGAGCTGGCTGACTGGGCCAATAATCAGGAAAATGGGAATTCTAGTCCCACCTTAGCCATGAAAGCCAGCTGGATGACTTTGGGCCAATCACCAGGAGACTGGGAGTTCTAGTCCCGCCTGAGTCCCGCTGGGAATAGGGCGGCATATAAATAAAACAAATCTCAAATCTCTTAGCCAGTCCCGCCTTAGCCATGAAAACTGGCTGGATGACTTTGGGCCAGTCATTCTCTCTCCACCCAGCCCATCGCACAGCGTTGTTATTGTGGGGAAAATAGGAGGAGGAAGGTATCTATCATCTCTCTTATTTCTATATCTATCTATCTATCTATCTATCTATCTATCTATCTATCTATCTATCTATCTATCTCTACCTATTATCTCTCTTATTTCTCTATCATGTACCTATCATCTCTGTCTTATTTCTATCTATATCTATCTCTCTATTTATCTGTCATCTTTCTCATTTCTATCTCTATCATATCCTTATTTCTATATCTCATCCCTCTCTATTTCTGTTTATATTATCTCTCTTATTTCTATATCTATCTATCTATCTATCTATCTATCTATCTATCTATCTATCTATCTATTTATCTTATCTATCTTATCTCTCTTATCTCTCTATCATCTACCTATCATCTCTCTTATTTCTATCTATCATCTATCTATCTATCTATCTATCTATCTATCTATCTATCTATCTATCTATCTATCTATCTATTATCTCTCTTATTTCTCTATCATCTACCTATCATCTCTCTCTTATTTCTATCTATCTATCTATCTATCTATCTATCTATCTATCTATCTATCTATCTATCTATCTAATTTATCTATCTACTTCTNTAGATCATATATTCAGCTTGTGCAAGAAGATTGCACAAACTGATTATAAACTGTGGCATAACACTAGAATATCAGTAAAAATTAGCACGTACCAGTAAAGGAAAATTGGTGCGACCATATAGTTGAAAATGATCAGGTAAAAATATACAGTAGTTAGATAATAATTGTGTCCTCAATAGCTAGATAAATGTAGACTGAATGAAACTTATTAGTACAGTCAGAAGTCTCAAAAATCATTGGCATGGACTACATTTCATAAATAATAGTCAATAATATACTGGCATATTATTTGTTACTATACTGCATAAAATAGATAAACAAGTTAAATGCAATGAGTTACTGTGCCAATCTAAACAATCTTTCAAATTTGGGCAAACTTTTGCAACTGGAACTCATAGTGTGAGCAGGAAGACAACAGTGTTTGTCATTTAAATTACTGCAGTATTTAGATAAAAGTGGCTTAATTAAGTCCCTAGCCCAAGATAAATAAATAATACAACAGAAGTATATGGTCAACAGATTCAATTTTCACTATTGGACGTAGATAAAGATAATCTGGCAATGAGCAACTGCTGAATCTACCTTCTGATTGTGCTAATGGCAGCATATTATCTAGCCAGAATGAAGGTTCCTCAATGTTTTAGGCATAAGATAATTGGCAAGATAAGGAGCAACTGAGAAGTTTTTACCTAGTAAGCTGAAGTGGTAAACTCATGTGTTAGGTCTTTCAGGATTTTTTTTTAAAGGCTGTATCAGCTCCACACAAGGAACTGACCCTAAAAAAGCCACAGTCTTCTATCTAAATTTATTCCCTTTAATCATAAAAGTACCATAGAAAATCAGGGAGATAAAAAAATGTCTCAAAATTCAAGCCAGTATTTTAGGTAACAAGGCAACCTGTATATTTGAATTGAAATCCCTCTGGTCTCTAACATAGAAAAGCAGCAGGATAGATCTTGCAAATTTCTTAGAAAATTTGATTTCAACAGTTTCAAAGAGAGTGTTAGAGATTAGGTAGCTTAGAACCTTTGTCCTACATATCTTAATAGCTGCCGAAACGTCTTTATTGCCATTCTGAATCACAAAACACAAGACAGAATTTGAAAGCCATTGAGCCTTTGTGAGCACTGTCTTTATCTGTTATTTCCAGGATGTAGAGGCATAAAAAGAGACCCCAAGATATTTAAAGACTTCGACCTAGTTGATGCTAATGCTACCTTTCATGATGATGCTTTGAAAGACGATTATTTTTGTTTTCTCTTGATTAAAGTCAGGCCCATTTTCCATACAGAAAAAGACAAGACCCCTAAGACGTTTTTTGAGACCTAATAAAGACACAGAAAATATGATTTCACTGTCTGCATAAAACAACATTGAAACAAGCCTATTGGTTAATGAAGGAGAGGGAAACAGTCTGGAAGTGACTTGTACCACCGGCTTGGTGCTGCAACCGTAGTTGCATTTATATAAAAATCTCAGGCTGGGGGGTCAAACAGTACGCCCTTCAGACAGGGTTCGCAATTTGGGAGTCCTCCTGGACCCACAGCTGA